AAATCCGAGTATACCAGAGTCCAAAACATTGGCAAGGAGCAGCCCCCTAAAGCTATTAAAAGAAGACCAAGAGGCCACTCATTAACGTAGAGCTGTTAATTTGTCTGTGTACAGTGCCTCCAACACAGAGAGTGCATAAAACGATCTTGATAATTTGTAAGATTGCCAGTTCGAAAATACGGCTTTCCGACGGGGTTGAATGCTGCTCGGCCGTCCGTTATTAATTTAACCTCAACGCCGATCCGTTACTGTGTGAAAGTCGAGGTTTACCATGATGAGAAATTCCTGTGGAAGTTCTATTTTGGTACAAAAGTATGGGGGAAACGTCGGCAAAGAATTGATCAAATTTGTTTTCAACGGTCCTGAGAATCATTCAACAATAACGAAGTGACACATCAATGAATAAGTTTGTTTTGCATGAATAATCAAGGGTTATATTTTTTTTCTTCCTTGCCAAGATGACTCGATTAATCCGATACACCGTTGAGATTTGATATTAATATTCAGACGTCCGTTTTTTTGTAGGTGTTCAAAGAAAAATGGGAACAGTGGACTCCATTCTTCCGTTTTGCTTGAATGTAACGGTACTGAAAGATCCTGAAGACAAGACACGGTCCTGCTCTATTTACTAAATTTATCCTTGATTCAATCTAGATCATCATTTTAAAGATAGCTTAATTCTAAAAAAAGTCTATTCATACAAAACGAAGAGAAAAATATACATATTTATATTTTCATTCATTGTGAACAGAAAACAGAAAAAAAACCTGAGCTACCCAATGATTATACTCAAATTAATTACATTTCCTATGCGACGAAAGTTACATAAAGAAGAAGAAGGCTGTCGTGTTGAGAGTAAAGGGCACTCAACACGACGGACAAGAATGACACATCTACATGGAAAACAAAAACTTTGAGCGCTGAAGATGATCTCAATAAAGATCGAAACTGGAGAGTATCAATAACTGGGGCATGAAACAATTCCCTAGGGAGTGGAATTTATCCCCCGGACACAGGCAATCGAAAGAGTTTGTTAAGGCCATCAAACCAGCAGAATCGAAATGGCTATTCTCTATCTCAAGGAAGGGAATTAGAAGGCTGATAGGTATTCTGACGGGCCACTGCCCACTGAGAAGACACCTCTTCGTAATGGGTATCCTACCAGATCCCTTTTGCCGCTTCTGCGAAATTGAAGAAGAAACGGCAAGGCACTACCTCGCAGAGTGTGATAGGTATGCCAGGATAAAATGGTCCAAAATCTTGGGGATTGTGAACAAGTCCAAGAGGTTTATGCAGGACACGTGAGCCGACCAAGTCCCGGACGTTTTAGGGATGGGGTACGAGTCTACCCAGGCATTTAACCCCTCGGGTCTTGGTTTCATCGAAACTTTGGCACGATAAACAAAATGTTTTTCTAAAACCTACGTCACACCAGACCGCATCTCACGACCTCCAAATAATCATCAAGTAACGCCCACTAAACACCACACATAATGAATAATGCTAAATCTGAATCTGCAAGTTTTCTGACGTGGACCATCATTCATCATTGAAAGCATAAAATAACTTTGTTCCTAGCTTATCGTAAAAAAAACTTTTCCTTTATTGCAACCTGTTACATAAGAGAAACTATGATTATTTATTATTAAAAAATTGGAATATTCATCATCATAGTGTTCCCGCACAAGTAATATACATATGCACATTCCATACACAACAACATTTTTACATGAAAAGAGGTTTGATTGGTGTGTAAAGTATACAGTTCCCTCTTCTTATATACTACTGATCAACCAAACAAAATAAATTTTTGAGGTGGGAATGGCTGAAACTATACTTGTCGATCGTCTTTGCTCACGTGCCTTCGCTAATTTGGCATTTTGCTTAGGTTTTTACAATGAAGCGTCACTGATGATGTCTATGAGACCAAAACATCAAGGAAACATAGACCGAAAACGATCAAAACGGCAAAATTACTGGTTCATTTAGTGGTTCATTTCAATAGTGAATATAACACTGAAACTAGCTAACATTTTTTAATAACAATTGAATACCACTTATATAATTAGCAAATATGTATGGTTTCATGGCGTGAGAGCATGATGATGCATAAAAAGTGCAAACTATATGTTTATTATATTAATCCATATATGTATTTAGTAGTCATAATTGACCTATTAATTATTTTAATTAATTATACTTTAATCTAAGGTTTTGGTGTCATGGTGTGGTACACGGGACCCCCTTTATAAAGATGTAAGTAAAATTTCTGTTCTTTTCAACCAAAAACTTGTGAAAGAATAAGAAACGATTTTAATAAACATGTAGAAAAATTTTAAAACTATCCTTCCTTTGACTCCGTTTCAAATCTGGTCATGAAGCAACAGGCGAGACCTTTTGGACCCCAAAAAAATTGTTCAGTAATCGTTTCAAATGCTTTGAAAAACTAGCAGTCAATTATTTATGCATGACAAATAAAATTATTCCTCCCACTTAGCATGGCTTTGAACTCGACCCGTTCTGTTTTCACAGAAGAGGTGTAAAATGTCATCCTCCGTCAAAAACATGAACTAAAAATTCCAGCTGATGTCATCTACCTTAGCTCCGGGTATCCCATAGACTATGTAGAACCTGGTTTGGGATCCATGGCACTTTCCTACATTTCTTAAAATCAAACCACTCTGATAAAAGTTTAAAAGTCAAGTTTGATCAAGCACATTCTAATTCATATCCAGTGATTAGCGGAGTACCCCGCAAGGATCGATCCTGGGTCCAATTCTAATCATCCTTTATTCAGTGATATTAAATATCAAAATTCACTATGAAATTCATACCAAGACATTCGCAAACCCCTTGACTGTATTCACTGAACGGCTAATGAGCACTGGTAAGATTTCTGACTGGTATTTTTATACATCTTAATCTTAAACCTAACAAGTGCTGTGTTTTACATCTGGGCACTAAAAACCCATGTTTAACCCACAACTTGATGGTAGTTCGTTGGCCTTTAAAATCACTTGGGGACGACAATATCAGAAGACCAAAAATGGAATAAACAAGGTGTTTAGTATTTGGAGCCCCTAAAGAAATGAAACTTGTATAAAAAGTTCAAAGACGTTTTACCAAAGCCTACAAAAAAAAATTGAAGCCATACAGCTACGTGGACTGACGTAAATTTCTTAAATTTAGCCACTCTTCAAGATCAAAAAGAAAGGCAAGATATTATCGAAACCAATAAAATTTTTACAGATAAATATTACTCTTCCCCTCACGTTTTCTCACTACATACATCCTCTAAAACTCCATGGAATTTCAAAAGCAGCGCTCCCAAAATGAGTTGGATCAACATTCTTCTCACGGCCAATGCTTTGGTCACCAAGTTGGACACCATGCCAGTTAGCCATGGGCCTGCCTTCACACACTGGAGACCCAAAGATTGGGCGAGCATGGCTTCAATGGCCTACAGTGGCTTACATTTCCTGTACCATGATGGATATCGAGTTCGCGTAAATCTCTACTGGAGCTATATGTTTGGCTAGGTAGTATAATTGCTATTTACATTACAAACAATGGCCGACCAATGTTGGCCGGTGTATGGTCAAGACACCTACCTACTGCCCACTTCGCGCATATTGACCTCCTTTGATGTGTTTAGTGAGGCCACACCCAAAGCCAAAGTTCACCAATACCATTTCCACCTTTCGCCAATACGGGCCATTACAGGCCATCACAACCCCTCTTTACTGTGGCCCAACACAGTTTATTGTTTCCACCTAGATTTCTATCAACAACATGCAAATAACATTTATTCACCCTGGCCAAACACAAAGCTGCAGCAATTTACTCGACCTCGATGTCCATCATGGCACAGGAAATGTAAGCAACTGTAGGCGTCTGAGACCATGCTGGCCTAATCTTTCGTTCCCAGTTTATGAAACCAGTCCCACTTTTAACGTGGCATAGTGCCCAGCTTGGTGACCAATGCATTGGCTTGTCATGGCCCCTAGTGCACAGGGGCCGTGAGAAGAATGTTGATCCAACTCATTTCTGGGAGCGCTGTTTTTGACGTTTCCTGGAGAATGTATGTAGTGAGAAAACGTGACGAGAGGGTAATATTTATTTGTAAGAATTTTGTTGGTTTCGATGATATCTTGCCTTTCTTTACAATCTTGAAGAGTGGCTAAATTTAAGAATTCAAGTCGGTGCACATAGCTGTATGGCTTTAATTGTTTGGAGTTTTGGTAAAAGTCTTTAAACTTTTTTTACAAGTTTAATTTCTTTTTGAAAGTAGGGGCTCCAAATACTATTGCAAACTTTATTTTCACTCAAGAACATTCTGGATCATGGTATAGTCTTAAAGAAAAACGTAAACTCAGTTGTTTCTGCAAAAAACTGAAGGTTGTTGAAGGCAGGTGGTTTTGCCCTGATGATGACCTTAAAATAGTTCGAAAGCTTGGCAGTAACAACTGAATTGGCTTTTTTCTTCTACGCCACACCTCGATAAAGAGTGTTCGTTAGCGCACGTGGCATATGGTGACCAATACATTGGCCTGTCATTGCCCATAGTGTGGAGGTGCCATCAAACCGCGTCGTAGAAAATTGAAATAATCTGCCTTCAAATGTCATTTAAGTTCACTTACCTCTTTCAAATCGGATTTTGACAGTCATCTTCAATCAAAATTTCCCTAACTCGTTTTGTTATTCATTTATTATATTTTGTTATACTACTAAAAATCCACGTTTAACCTACAACTTGATGGCTGTGATAGATTTCGAAGCATTATTAAAATAAGACGATAGAGATGACTGTAGGTGGATCATGATTCACGTGAGAGTGGGATGCAAACCACTCCGAACTGTGAGTCATAAGATAAACGTCAACACCATCTATGAAGAAACAACAACCGAATCTTGTGAACCAATCCAGACAACTGTACCGTCACCAGAAGGTTGATAACAGTGACGCGAAACGTCCGTCTATTGTTAAAAAAACCAAATATTGTTATCAAAGTAAGTTCCTTATCGTGAGTCAAATGTTCAAATTATGAATATATTGTAATTCATTTTGAGACTTGTCCTGTCGGACTCTGCGCCTGTTAAAAATTACCTGCACTTTCCGAACTGCTGGGTGTCGGGTTGCTTTCGGCCTTTTTTTTTTGCCATCGTTAGTTTTTCTTAAAGTTTAAATGAAGAAAATCATAATAAGACAGGGTTTTCCTTTGATTCTTTCCAAATTCAGGATACAGAGTTGTGCCAGACTTGCATCTACTATGCCGAAGCAGAAAGTGTTCCTGACGAGATCTGACTATCCAAAAAATGGTGTTTCGTTATTAGAACCTAGGTGAGTTTGTAATTCAATTTTTCTTTTTAATTTTATGTCAATTATAAAAGAAATCAGTGAGCTGGATTTCTCGATTATTCTCATTGGATCAGAACAGTTGAGACAAATTCAAGGTGGGTACCGATTAACAGGTCTGACTATTAAAAAAACATATTTCCCTACGTGATCTTTATTCTTTATTCAGTTCTACAGTCCAAGATGAACTTTGCCCTCTGGGACAATTTCCTACAGAATTATGTCCTGCATCATCCTTTCTGTCGCCCCCAGCATCACCAAAGTCTCTGCATCATGTCTCCTAGTGTTAATTCCTTCACCATTTTTCGTATAGCATGTATTTTGCCCAATTATGGTGGTTTGTTCATGATTGCTCATAATATGTGAACATATTTGAAAATGAAACACTATTTTTAAAATAAACTATCTGCTTATAAATTAAGTGACATTTAACATTGGTAACTTTGGTGTATAACTAATGATAAAGACAAAAGATCTTTGGGTTCATGTTAAACCAAACAATCTGTTTGTTTTTGTAATTTGTATATAAAGTAGTGAGTCATAAAAGAGTTTTAATTGTCAAAAGAACAAATGTGAAGTTAAATAATTTAAAACTGCACTTTATTATTTCTAGATATGAACTTTCCTTTTGGGACCATGAAAAAAATGGTGTTATCACTAAAGAAGGCATGGTTGCAAATGTAAAAGGTGTCAACGCAATATTTTGTTGTTTGAATGACAAGATTGACAAAGATGTTATTGAAGCTGCAGGTAATTTAGCATAAAAATGAAAATTTATTTTATGATAATTATATCCTTTTAGGTGATAGTTTGAAAATTGTTTCAACCATGTCGGTTGGCGTGGACCATGTGGATAGAGAGATTCTAAAAAAGAAGAATGTCAAACTCGGCTACACACCCGACGTGCTAACAGAAGCTACGGCAGAATTGACTGTCGCCTTGCTGCTTGCAACATCGAGGAGATTGCTTGAAGCAAACAAATTGATCCGGGAGTAAGTTGTTCCAGTCAAAAAATGTGCATGTTGTAAATAAAATTTTATTTAGGGGACATTGGACTTCTCCATGGGCGCCTGTCTGGATGTGTGGTCCGGCACTGAAAGGTTCAACTGTAGGTATTGTCGGTTTTGGACGTATCGGACAATCTACTGCGATAAAGCTCAAAGCTTTTGATGTAGGAAAAATTCTTTACGGGAGCGAAAAAGAAAAGCCGGAAGGTACAGAGGAAAATGAGTGTGGTCAAAATTCAAAATTTAAATCATTATTACCTTAGGAATTGAGATGGGTGCATGTAGAGCATCCTTAGATGTACTACTCAAAGAAAGTGATTTTGTTATTGCAACCTGCGCATTGTCTGAAAAAACAAAGGGGCTTTTTTCAAAAGAAAATTTTGAAAAAATGAAGCCAACATCTATCTTTATTAATACATCTCGAGGAGGTTTATTATATTTTTATACTTCTATTTTGTTTGGTTTTTTACTCTATACTTTATATTGATGACAATTTAATCATTTTTAAGGTGTTGTTGATCAAGAAGCACTCATTGATGCCCTGAAGAATGGAAAAATAAGAGCAGCAGGCTTGGATGTGATGACGCCTGAGCCGCTTCCTGCCGACCACCCTTTATTGTGCTTAGATAATTGTGGTAAGTAATTTATTATAAACTTGTTTTATTTAAAACATTTAATTTTTTTCCCATCCATAGTTATACTCCCCCACATTGGAAGTGCAACATATCAGACAAGAATGGTCATGTCGGACCTTGTAGCAAAGAACATCATTGCAGCACTTGAAGGCAAGGAAATGCCTGCAGAATATAAATAAAATTAATGAAATGTTACAATATTAAATTTTACAATGGGCAATAAAACTTATTTTTTTAAAGATTGTAATAATAATAATAATAATAATAATGTTTATTGCACACAAGAAGAAAAAAGAAAAATTACATATAATTCAAACAAGAAAATAAACTTAATATGGCAAGGTAACCGTCTGCCGGAGCTTGGATTAATTATTGACTAATCCTGTAAAATAAACGTACAAATGCATTAAACTAAGTCTATGCTAAGTGTAACATCTATAACAAAATACCAAATCAAAAGGACACAAAACTGAGAATTAAAAATCAATTAGCGGAGCTGAGACCGGAGAAACAGAAACACCAAATATCAAGGGAAAGAGCGGAGGCAAAGAAATTGGGAGTAAAAGAGAAGAAGAGAGAAGAATTACTAATTAAATTCGTTTACTATTAGCCTTCGATAGGCCCAGGCCGCTTTAGCATAATT